TACACGATTCTGCAAGGGCGCTGATTCACGTATGCTGTTAAGAATCATTCAGCAGGCACGCTCCAGGGCGAACGCAGCGCTCAACGCACCTCTTCCTAAAGAAACCGCAACTGGACGCTTGGAGACTGCATCCCTCACCGTACGGGAAGCGGAAAGTATGTCCCTGCCTTTTCAATACAACGTTACCGCCTTCTGATCTACGGCTTGTACCTGATGTAGGCACACACAAAGCCACGCTCTGGCGGAATCTTGGTGTGCGAGGACGTCGGATTCTCCATCGCATGCGGCGTGTGGTTGCTCTGCCGTACATACCCGTATGGCCATAGCATCACAATCGTTGCCTTTTAATGAGTTGGTGAAATCCACACTGCAAAATTGGTGTCCTCACCCGATCGCGATTTGTTGGTATGGGTCTCAAAACTAATTTTGCTAAGGCGAGACGAAAGAGGAAAGCGTATCAACAAAACTTGTAGTAGAACCACTGAAATCTAGCGCGTTCGCGTTAGCCTTCATGGATACACTGAGATATATCGAACGGCATACTGCAAGTCCAATTATATCCCAAAAAACCTACTAGGTACCAGCCTAAAGGCCATCCGTGTCCGAGTCACGTCCAGACCTGCCTCCTGAAGTGCCGCCGATATCTCTCTGCAGGCCCACTCATGCTGCGTTTCCGCTGTTGACCGGCACCCGAGCCAAAAGGGGCAGGGGAGGTATCGGGGCATGCCGTGGAAGTGTTTCCATCTCCGGCCACTGAACTGGTGCCAGTCGCAGCCCCAGCGGTGCTGTCAGAGCTGGTAGAACCTGTAGATGTCGCTGACTCCTGGGCATCTCTATCTTCAACCGCAGACGAGGTGTCAGCCGAAGCGGCATTGCCACACGTGCACTGGGTAGCCGTGCCACTGCTTGAGGCTTGGGTAGAAGACGAAGACGGCGATGTGGAAGCAGAGGTGGAAGTCTGGCTGTCCGCTGATTGCGACGCATCGGCGGACGTAGACGTGATGTTACTCCCGTCCGACCCGCTCCCGCTACCTTCGGGCACGATTTCAGCGATGGGAGGACCGGGGAACGTGTATGTGAACCCTGGGTTGTACACCTACAAAGCCAAAGACAGGCGAGTTGTCAGCTTGGGCCTCCTACGACGCAGTCTCAGTCGGAAGTGGAGCACTCACGTTGACCAGGATTCCGGGGTCATTGGGGCTGTATGCGCCCGGGAAACTGACGGTGGCGTTGGGTACGCCATCGCCGTCGCCGCTGATCTCGATCTGGGTGCACGAGGGATAGAACTCCGCATCACCGACAGTCATCGCGTTTTGCAGGGCAATGATCTAACGGAGCGGAATGATTAGTGCAAACTTCGTAGCCATGTGTAGAACATCGTAGCGCACCTCCATCCGGAGGAGATACTGGCCGGCCTTGAGGCCCTCGGGTATCCGAGTGGTATACGGCGTCCCGTCATCTGCATGAGCTTATGAGAAGAGAAGGTGTGCGGAGGTCTGGAAGACGTACCGAGGCTGGCCTGCACCCAGGTGGGGATAGCGTTCGGATCAGAAGAATTGGCGAGGCCTGCTTGATCTATCTTGAACCAATTCCCCTTAGTCCCGTCAAACGTGGTACAATCTCCTCCGTCGCACAGCGCCATGTAGGCGTCGATCGGGCCAACATTGTGGAACCACTGAAAAATCAACGCCGTGAGCAGGATGCGGCTAGATGGATGTGGCAATCGGAGAGGAATGACGTACGTGACCTTCGCTAGAGGTCCAGACAACGGCAATCGTGCTACCAGCTGTGGCGGGCACAACTAGTGGCGCCGATTGGGCGTGTTGGCCACAGGCAAGGCTGGGGTCGGTGGTATCGGTGATGGGGCTAACGGTGCTAATGGTACGAATAGGACTTTGTACTAGAAGACAACAAACAGCGATTCAGATAATGCAGGATTAAACCATAGTATGGCAAACTAACCCGAGTCTCCGCCTGGAACGTTCCCGGGAAAGGGCTTGCCGTCGATAGTAACATTCGCTACCCAGCCGTGAGCCGCGACGAAAGGGAGCAAAGTGAGGATGGAAGACAGGAAAGTGATGGAGCAATGCATCGTGTACGCTGAGAACGATGCCGACTATTCAGCAGTACTGCGTACGGATGAATGTGAAGAGGCTTGGGTGTATTGTAGGGTCAGACGAGCCTGCTCGTATGAGGGTAGTCGTGTGATGTGCTTGAGGTACGACGTACACCTCTGAGGCGCGATTTATAGCATCCTGTGGAATGGGCCGCCCGTGAGGTACGAGGACTGTTGAATCACAGGTCTCCAGTTTCATCACTACCTCTTGGTATATCGCGTCGCACTGAATAGCAGAGATCTAGAGATCGCGAGTGAGCCGGTGACAGAAACCTTGACGATTATCGCTTCCTTCAGGGATTCTCCCGGGTGATCGTGGAGACGTTGACGGGCGTCACCTGCAGTAGCTTACCTCAAAGATGCACCGAAGAGCAACAATCGTCGGCATAACACGAGAGAATGTGGATGAATTGGTTTAGACAAGCTCCACTTCGCCTCGTAATAGAAGTTGCTCGACAACTTGATATGGTACCAATGAGATCTGTCCCTTCTGCATCTCTGACATCGTCCCGCTAAAAGTCAGTTGTTAGTCTAAGTCGTCAATATATCCGGGAGGCATGACAACGTACTCCAGTAATTGCATCGGCGGACAGTCCTGCAGCGCATGAGCGAACACGGGACGAAACTTGTCCGGTTCAGGGGCTGAATGGTGGCGAGATATGAGATCGTCACAATAGGGTAGAAGATTGAGTTACGAACTCATTGGGGGCATGAATGCAGGCTTTTCATCCAGTTCCCTTTGTTGTTCAGGGAGGCTCTGCAGCACTGATTGATTGAAATGGTAGTCGACCATTCGAGAGTATCTGAGCGGCCTTTCAGTATTGTCGTGTTGTATGAGGCCAATAGAGCCTACCTCCGCGCGTGGTCTAGCTCCGCTTTGGACAATTTCTCGTGCACCTCGGGCGTGGCGCTGATATACCTCGCGTATTTCTCAATCTACACGCCACATTCTTCAGCCCTGTAACAAGCTCCACCATGTCCGCACGCGTACCTTGTGTAATCGAGTGCGGACGTACGACCTGATGACGAACTTGACGCGTTCCACCTCGGTTTGCACGAGCATTATTCGGAAGTGCTCTTCCTCCGAGGAGTCTGGGTCGGCACGCAAGAGCTCAACATCTCTAGACTAGAGCTAGATGCCGTCAGCGCCAGGTCTAGTCTCTCCGCGAACGTGTACTCCTCCACGAGCTATGTGTTCCCCGGTCTGCAACCCAGGACTCACCTGCTTCCGGATATGATCGAGCAGCCTTCCAAGCAGCATCTCCTGCCCGGGCAAGATATCTGGCGCGTGTCTCTCGTTCATCCAGTGTCGTATGAGCTGCTGAAACGGCGTCTCTTCTGCAAGATCTTGTGCAAGGATCGCTGGACGGCCGGCGCGGCGGAAATCATCTGTGATAGCGAAGTCGTCGTCCTCGGGAGCGCCGCGTGCACGATCTACGAATGAAGGGCCTGCCATTGGCGCGTCGAAGTCGTCGTCCCAGCCAGTGGCCATATTGGTATGGAGAAGGTCGTGATGGTTCTGAGGAAACGAGTGGGGGTCAAAGAGAAGAGAGACGCGTCCAAGACATGCACGCGTCGCGGCGCGCGTGTATAGGCATACTTAAGCGCTCACAACACTTCGCACTTCTTGAGTAGGCTCAGTAGGGCTCAAGGGACATGGTATCTCTCAAACTCAACATGCCATTGTTTACATACAGAACGGCTATACCAGGTCAGCACTCAAACTACTCGTACAACAGAAGAATATCTTAAGATGCATCTAAACAGTCTAACCTTCCCAGTCCTCATCATCTTCATCTCGTCGTGACCGTTCTCCATTAGCAGCCTCGTCTTCATCCTCTTCGTGACCCTCGTCGACCTCCATCTCGCGCCCTGTCTCCTCCTTTTCTTCCTCTTTCTCCTTGTCTGCCGCCTTCTTCCTCCGCCGCTTCGGTGCTGGCTTCTCCGCGCCGTCTGCATCGCCAGCATTCTTCTTGTCCTTGCCCTTGCCACGCTTCTTGCCACGCGCCTCGGCGTTCTCCGCCTCAATGTCGATGGTACCGCCAGCAGAAGGGTCAGGAACGGTCTCGACGATCTCCTTGAGGAAGTCCAGCATGTCCACAGTCTCAATGGCGTGCTTCCTGCAGTCACAAGGCGATAATGCGGCGAACGGGGCGCGTGAGATCAATGTTTTCGGCCAACGCTGGGAGTGGGTGACGTACAAGTGATACGCTTCAACACGCTTCGAGCCACGCTCGACGGTAACGTTGCTGGCTTCCTCGACAATCATGGCTAGGAAGAGTTCTAAGGCCTTGGCTACGCTCCCCGACAAGGACGAAGATTCAGAGCGGGCACGAGAATATGATAAGTTGTCTGGCAACCTGGAAGAGGTAGAAACGCACATATAACAACCGGGGTTGCCTGCGCAACTTTGCCAACCTCCTCGTCCTTCTGCATTATGCGCTTGATGCGCGCCTGCGAGCGCGACATTATCCAAGTTTGAAGCGACGCAACATTGCGACAATGACGCGTTATGCAATGTTTTATGGAATGGCAGCGAGCTATCCTCAGAGTGAGAGCGGATGGGACGAGGTAGGATGGCGTACAACGGGGAATTTGGTCGTCTTGTTCTTGTTCTTCATGGTGTGAACCTCGGCCGCCAAGGAGAATGACTGGGTTACTGGGGAATTGAGCTGCTAGAGAATATTAATCAGTTAATTCGAGGAGCAGCAATGGCTATGTACGCACTAGTAGGAGGTTGAGGAGGGCCAGGAAATGTTGCGGTCGATGGGGCGGGTGGCGCAGTGGCGGGAACCAAGACACAGGCGAGTACTTATGCTTTCTGAGAGGCTGATTTGTACTGCTTGACACGCTACGTATTGTGATTACTTAGGCAAGTAAACGCACGCCGATGGTGAAGTGGTTATCATGCTTGCCTTCCATCTCCTGGGTAGCAAGCGGCACGGGTTCGATTCCCGTTCGGCGTATAATCGCATCAGTTACAGAGCATCTTTTTGCCTACCATTGTACCAAACGTTTGACGTCCTGTGGACGTGCCTCTCATCAGACTATCACTATTGACATAACTTCTCATTTGCATCTATCTTCCATCCACAATGCTCTGCTGAGCTACTCACTAACCATAACTCCCGCCCTTGAGACATCGCAACAACATCCGAATTCCCCCTCGTTCTAGTCCGTCCTTCCAACATGGGCCTCGCAGATTTGTCAAACGGCCGCAGGGTCCACTCGCTGAAGAGAAGAAAGCTCACACATTCCACTTCCCTTACTTCGCCCCCGATATCCACAATTCCGCTTGGGCCGTCACTCATACCTCTGCAAACTGGTGATGTCAAGGCTTCCGTATGCAACTCTTGCCACCGCGCGTTTGCCGGTTCGAAGAGGAATCAGCTTGTACAATGTGCTCGGTGCGTAAACCTTCAGCTCTACACCACACTCCTCCATGAGCACATCGGGGAAGACATTCACCATCCCCCTCAAATCATCCCCGCTGCATTATATTGATAACGACCTTGGTGCTTATCCCAGATGTCACGAACCGACCTGTACGATCTGTTCTCGCACTTGTAACGGCTATCCTCCATCGGTGCCACCGACGCCTGCGTTGACCACATCGCCCTCGAGTGGCCCAGACACGCCTCTCATGTCTCCACGCCGGTCAGCGACGGCACTCACCGCGGACCTTCGTGTTTCCCGGGACCACGCTCCTGTACAGAGCCTGGCAGGCCGGAGGCGGAAGGTGCGTGATCTCGATGACGATGAAGACAATGCGGTCGCGAAGGGGACGCAGGGAGCGGACGCCGAGAATGAATGGCCAGGGAATGCGAACGGCGTGCTGCCCGGGTGCGGACGGACGCTATGCCAGAAATGTTGCTTTGAGACCCCGTCGAGGTGCGCCGACTCGAGCTTCTTCCTTCCATGGTGTCGCCAACTTGTGCCGACGAACATAATGCTTCAACAGCGACCTAACAACATGCTATGACTGTGCCGCCCAGTACGGGGATTCCTATGATCTCTGAACACCCATCGTTGCTCTTTTCCACATCCGATCTCGCCGGACCGAGGACTTCATTGTCGCTACCGTCGCTCTCAACTGCTCTGCACACCGTCATCATCGATATATGCCACCTTCCTCGGATCTCATGCCTTCCACAACCTCATTTTCAATCCTATCACTTCCAATATCCCACAACTCCCCCCATTGTACATGTACCCATATATACATCAGCACCATCGTCTTAATGACACTGTGTTTTCATGTTCATATCGCCTCCGGCTCCTTTCCATATGCACTTCCAATACCGCGGAGTACCCGCGCGCACATCCGTGTGGCCTGCGTGTGGCATATGCTCGACGTTTTGTTTCAGAAGCGAGCCGGAAAGAATCGATGGATGACATACGGTAAGTTACTAAATCCTTGTTCTGTATTGGATTTGTGCCTCCTGTACCTCAGGAAGTCTAGCACACAATCAAGTGTCGCCTTGCGCTTACCTTGTGTACTATGGTGATGAGACCATAGTGGATCGTCCCTCCAAAATGGCGATACCCCAGAAGGCACGTTACAAAGTTCGCAACTCTGCCGCCTCAAGATGGGCCCAGATAGCCAAGGTCTTAAGACAGTCGACCATCCGCTCCGCGCATAGAGCTCATTGTGCATTTATCCTCCGTAGTATCGGCTGTCTCGTGAACGAGGTAAGTTCGATAGAGCCCATAGCGAACGAGACTCGCACTGAAGCTTGCGGCAACAGCGCGACTCTGCGCAAGTTTCCGTGAGACGCGTGCTAATTAGTCACGATCACATGATGTGTGACTCTCGCGTCTCACGCTGTGCGCTGATCGCGTTTCGCACGCGTCACGCTCCTTCGACCAGTACCACCACCATCGGAACTAGGCCGAAGCAGCCAACAAAGGGTACCGGGGTATGTGTTGCACCTGTTGCGTTTCCAATCTTGCTCAGAACAGTATCGCATCTGAAGACGATCTCGACGGTATGAACGCGCCTCCGGAATCTTCTCTAGACCTGGTAGGCGAACCCTTCGCTGTCATCGAGTCGGATCCTGGTATGCAACAGCGCCTTAATATCGTCTGCTACTGACCGCGCAAAAAGGTGTCTTCACAACGCTGCTTCGAAAACTTGGGGTTGAGGGCCTAGCTGTGGTCGAACTCTATAGCGTGGAACCATACGAGACTGACTTCCTCAACCCTTACGGTCTCATCTTCTGCTATCTATGCGACGACGGAACAGACACTGCCAAAGATCTCGACCCAAGCGAGGACTTCGACGATCCTGATGCACGATTGATCTGGTTTGCCAACCAACTAAGTGACGACGCCTGCGCATCGCAGGCTATTCTGAATGTGCTACTCAATTGCAAGAACATCCGTCTTGGTGCCCCTCTCAAAGAGTTCGCTGCTGATACAGAAGGAATGTCTCCCATAGTAAGCATCCATGAGTCGATCGACTAGTTCCTAGTGGCTCACTCTCACTTTGAGCGGGCTTAGATGAGAGGTCTTGCCATATCCAACTTGCAGCTCATCCGCGAAGCGCAGAACTCGCTCGCACGGTAAGTAGAGCCGCACCCTTCCCTGCCAACTCGCTATATCCATCAATGCACGACAGGCCTTCGGACGTCCGTGGCGCGTGGCATGCCCTCGCGAGTTCGGCACTCGAGTCCGCGAAGAGCAAGGCGAAGGCAGCGGCTTCCCCGCCGGCCAAGAAGCGCAGGACGGCTTCTGCCTCTTCCCGCTCGCGGCGCAAGTCCGCTGCCTCATCACGCGGAGAAGAGAAGCTCGATGCCTACCACTACATCGGGTACGTCCCTGCGCACGGACGCGTATGGGAGCTCAACGGCCTGCGCGCTGCTGGCCCGCTCGACGTGGGGGAGATCGACTCGGACAACCCGGACTCGCGGGCAGGGTGGATGGACGTCGTGCGGCCGGTGCTGCAGAGGCGCATGCAGACGGTGATGCAGAGCGGCGCAGAGCACATCCAGTACAACCTGCTCGCAATCGTGGACGACCCGTACCTGAAAGCGAGCGACGAGCTGGAGCGGCTGAAGAGGGAACGCGCGGCGATCGAGCGACGGCTCGCACAAAGCTTCCCCGGCGGATGGTCGGAAAAGGTGGGTGGGTGGTCGACCTCTCGGCGTCTGCCAGCGGCGGTGTCGCCAGGCCTGTTCAAGTAGCTCATGACGTTGCCCTGGGTGCGCGTGTGTGTCCATGCAGGTCGACCCGGCGCTGCTCGCGTCCGCTGCAGAAGCGTTCGCGACGACGCTGCGTCCGGACGGACAGGCCCCCGGGAAGGTGTTCTCGCCGGACTTTGGGGCGCGCAAGATGGAAAAGGAGCTCGCGATCCTGGACATGCCGGAGCGCAAGCTGGTGCCGGCGTGGGAGGCGTGCGTGCGGGCCGCGCTATCGGCCAAGATCGCGGTCGAGGAGGACATTGAGAAGTCGCGACAGGCGCAGGTGCGGAACCCGTTCTTTCATCAATGTGCCGTACGTGGAATGGTGCCTTGTGAGAAGCGTGAGCTGTTTGTGCGCTCTGCTCACCCCTGGATGATACCCGTCCTCTGGGGAGCACAGCGTAGGCAACACATGGACTATGAGGATAAAATCTTGTCCGTGACAGACTGGGACAGGCAGAGATGCAGCCACATGCCACGGCTGTTTTCTAGTATTCCCGGGGATATCAATCCCATTGCAGTGAACGCTTTACGCACCGGATGCATGGCAAGTTATTCTATGATGAATTGTCCATGCACTCGGGAAGGGAAGCAGCAGGCTCCGAAATGGAATCACGACAGGCAATGTTGACCATCTCGCGTCGGCAACATCACTGGTAGGTGGCTGTATTCCTCTTCAGTGTGTTATAAGCCCGGTCCAAGCCTGGAAATCGTGTTACAGAGCCCAGGAGTGGGTTTCAGTGAAAGGCCCTTCGGACGTGGGCCGTCGTAATGTAAGCAACGTCTCCTACGTTAAGGAGGGTGAGAGAGAGGAGTACGGTCCCTAGCACTTCGCTTTTTTGTTGAACTTTTCCTATTCGGAAAATAGCGCATTTTCTGTCGTGAGTAGCAGTCAACATCGTTGATACAGGCATCTCCTGATGCCGTTCACTTCTTGATGCAGAACCCCTGCAATGACGTTAGGGTCTCCCTTAGGCTGTATTATATCACGACAGGCAATGCGCCGTTTCCCGCGTCGGAGAAATCCTGACTTCACAGTAGTCCATATTCTCAGGGCTTCTCATTGGGCTCTTCATTGGGACTGTTGCTCTGTAACGGATGATCCAAACCAAAACGAATATGTGAATGGGAATACAGCTACTAACGTGCTACCATGCCGATGTCATTGCGGAATATTCTGGTTCGCGGGGTATATGAGGATGCTAAGGAGTACCTCTACAAAGGCTGCCGAACCCTTCTGGACTGTTCTTCTCACCCATCGCGAATCGTTCTATGACTAATACACACTTTCGGAGCACCTTCTAAGGGCGTTCATGAAACTTCATTTCTGTCTTTCGAGTAATATGAAGTGTTGGCTGAGCGCTGATGAACTGTAGTGGTATACGGAGCAAGGGTTGGCTGACTCGTTCGTCGTTTCATTCAGGCGGATCACATAAGGCGGACGTTCGACTACGAACCATTCATACGGGAGTTCATCACCTCTCTGAGTCGCCAGGGACTGCTGGACGGTGTGCTCGAGGACAAGCCGGAGGCCCGCGCGGAGGCAACGCAGTCAGCACCCGGGCCGTCGTCGAGGCCGCGTGCGAAGACAAAGAGGAAGTAGTGTCACTGTGCGCAGCCGGTGCTGACGAGGGTGGGTAGGCGTGCATGAGCTCGCGCGATAGCATGTACGCTGACAGCCCTACATTGCAGATTCCGCAGCGGTATGCGGAGGATGTGCCCGGCATGCTGGAGGGTCATGGTCCGTGTGCATGGCAACCCTGGGTTCCGCGAGCCCCTGTGCA